ATTGGCTGCCGCGTTTCACCCACAAAATATACAGTAAATTCACTTTACAGTATATTATGTGAAGCACTTTGAGACATCTAGAAGACGTGAAAAAGTGCTATATCAAATGCAAGGATTGTGATTATTATTATTCCTTCTATTTTCTGCAGTACATCTCACTTTGATACAGATTTGTAAGCTGTTTTCCCGCCCCGCCCCTGACAATCAAACCAAATGATCAGATGCTGTTGCCGTTGTAACTGAATGCCCAATATACCTCAAAGCCTCTCCTTCCAGTGTTCCTATCCCTTACCATACAGATCCTACACATTAGTATTCCCGCAAAGCGCCTCGAGACTTTTTGATGTGGTCAGGTGCTATAAAAATGCAAGTTCTGAAAGTGTTGATTAGTTCAATGGAAGATCATTCGTAACCTGTTCGAGCACACTTGCTCCTCACCACATCCTGAACAGTTACAATGAATTCAGATACCAGCAAATCAGACAATCTGTCATGATTCAGAAGGCGCAGGGCAGAATAGTCAAAACTGATGCACAAAATCAGAGGTAGCAATTGCAGTCCCTGTTTGTTTTCTTCCCTCCTTCCAATCATTCAACAAATGCTTTGAATAATGTGGTAAAGTACAGTATTCTAGTGACTGGATTAGCAGGTGGCTGTCATTCAGCTGTTAATTTAGTGGCTTGCAGTGCAGCCTGTGGTAACTAACATGTTTTGTGATATGACACAATAAGGTGACTTGTGAGCTAAACTGAAACACTGCTAATTCTGACTTCTGCTGAAGCTTCCCCCTGAAATACATATTGTGGCAAGTGGGTGACTTGTGTGTGTTCGTCTCCTGGATGAGAAGGTGTTGCTAGTATGTGTGTGTGGTAATACCTAAGAAGTTCGACAGTTATTTTCAAGAATGTAATCACAATTGTGCAATGACTTCTACTGGTCAAACCTTTGATCCCTACATACGCAGAAGCTCACTGCTTCCCCCACACACAGTGCAGCATTTGCACAAGACATTGTGTCACTGTGTGAGCTGTAAGGAATCTTCCTGGAAGCTCTCGATTGAATATTGCAGTATTTTGAAACTCTATGGACATATAGCATGGCAGCATGTTGGGGCGGAGGTAAGTTGGGTCGAACGAGATGTTTTGCAGAACTAAAGCCCTTTTTATACGCCTAATCATATGGAAATGTGTCTTTATAACTGATAGGCGCAAACAATTTAAATCTGATTCTTTTTGGTGACTTTTTTTAAAAAAAAGACTCGACTGGTGTTTGCATAATTTGATCAAATTATATTCTTGTGAAACATTTTTCAAAAGCAAACGGAAACCTGAACTGATTCTCCTGCTGTGGTTCCTAGTTCATCTTGTACACTCATAAGCAAACCCTTCGGTTTTTGAAAGGATGAATATCCATTTCTTCCGTTCATTTCTAGATTTTTTTTTCGTGTGTGACCATAGAAACTTGGGCCGATCGTGTAAGTTCATGTAAAATAAAACTGGACCATTCGATGGCCATGTTCTGCCAATCCAGCAATCCCTTCAGATTGCCGGGCATCTATGACACACCCGTCACATCGCTGACTAGCTACTAGGAGTGAGAGGCCTGAACTTTACTGACGGTCTGGGCCTTTCTTCTTCCCTCCATTAAGACACAGCAGCAGTGACCTTCCAGAGGCCCATACCATTCTAGCAGCTTCAAGACATTGGCTTGAGCAGGGTAGTGCTCAACTGGAACAACTCCTCAAGAGCCAAGTTGATGATCTTGCTCGTGAACATGCCTCTCGATGCCTTCCTACACACAACAATCCCCAGAAACTATCCCATCACCATCCACGCAGTGTTCGATTATCGGGTCAGTTTGTAGCTTTCAAGATACTGTACTGCTACATACGAAGAACCTGGCAATACTTCTAGCCTTCTAATATTTTTGTGGCCACTTTTAAATTTGTCCCTTACTCGTCCCAGCAACAGATTTTTATTTTGCTCCCATGTAAGCTTCCAGAAAAAACAAAATATCTCCAGTATCTTCTTCAGAAATATTTTCTTGAAGAGGAGAAAATGATTAACTATATCCAAGCTGATTGATAACCACAGATTATCTTAAAACGAAGGCTTGTTATAGAAAGGTTAGCAAAAAAAACCTTGAGTTATGCTATGCTTGTTTTACCTTGTTTTACAATCTCTGCATAGGATTTCAAATTCCTATTTACATGCCTGAAGGCATGCATACTTCCAGGAGACATGAAACTTGCCCTTGGGGTATGTTTGGAATTACAGAGGGGAGGGAAAGGGAGAGGAGAACTACAGGTCTATTGAGCGGGGAACGAGAAGGAAGGAGATGATTGTGAATCAGTACTTTGAATGTGCTCTCCAAAAAATGCAATCAAAATAATCATCATAATCCTTGCATTTGGTACAGCCTTTCACTTGTTGTCGTGCCTTTCATGTCAGGAGTTCCTGTCACAGTGCCTCACAGGGTATACTGTTTAGTGACTGTGTATTTGTAGGGGGATGTGGCAGCTCAATTGCGCTTAGCAATGTTTCGGGAGTGACCAATTTTAGTTGGGCTTGTTGGCCAGGATGGATATCTGGCCTCTCCCTGTAGAATTGTGCAGCATGAACCCATATTCAAATTGCAGAGCATTGTGTGGTTTGCTCATTCGGTTCTCTCCCTTCCTGTTCCCTGCCCCCTCGTCTCCTGCAGGCTGTGATTTTGTGCAGCATGTTACACGGATGCCAGTGGTCCTCCAGCACTGAGTTTTCTCAATGAAACATCCAAGTGAAAGTGTTTCTCTTTCTTCCTCCACCCACTCCCACACGTACTGTTTCCTGTCCACATGCCTCGGATGTGGTGTTTTTAGGGAAGATGCCGTAGCATTATTGAGTGCCTCCTGCCGTAAGATCACTCATATTGATTTGGGTTAACCAAAGCATCGTTTGGCTGTGACATTTCTCTTAGTTCATGTTAAATTATGGTTGGGGGGGGGGCGTGGAGAAATGTACAGATAGGGTGCTGCACCTGTACATCTGGAATGGTTTGGATACTCTTTAAGCATGTGTCAGACACCCAGATGACCCCCACTCCCACAAAAAAAAGTTGAGGGCTTTAAGCAGCAGCACAGCTTAACCAATGAGTATAGAGCTCCCTCTACAGTATATGGCCAACATGGAACCTTGCTGTACAAAACTCCAGCAATATCACTTGCAAGATGATTATAAATTGCCTTGAGCTAGAACTGGAAGAGGGGAGAGAGACCGAGCAGGGGAGGGTACAAAATGTCGCTTTTTGGGTGCAACTTTCTTTGCAGTTCACTACTTTTACAACTTTTGATATTGACATAACAGCTACGACTTGTATTTACGTAGCTTCTGTTACTCAGTAAAGCGAATCTGAGCACTGTACAGTGGCAGAGTTGGACACGGAGCAAAGGGGGATGGGACCATTGGCACGTTCAAAGAGACTGGGTCTTAAGGTGGGATTTAAAGATAGATAAAGAGGTGGAGGAATTGAGGCAGGCAGTTCCAGAGGTTAGGGGTGTAGTGGCTGAAGGCACGGCCATCAATGTTGGCACAGAGGGGTTGGGTGGGGGGTGGAGGGGGAGAATGAGCATCAGACCTTAGCTCTACTTTTCTGAAGTGTGTGTGTAGGAACTAAAAGTTTCAAAGATTATAAAACTTTTTAAACGTCGCACAAAATATCTCATCAGTGTTTCTCAATGTTAATTTTTTTCCGCAAGTAGGATTTGTGGGAAAGAAATTTGTGTGTGTGTGTCTGCATCTGTGTGTGTGTCTGTGCGGGGGTGGGGCGGAGAGAGAAGGTCTAAGGGGCACTGTTAATTCTCCATTCCAGGGTGTTTTAAATGCACATGTGTGTTTAGCAATATTTAGTGTTGCTGACAATACCTTCAGGCATTTCCTAATGGACTTAACTGGCAGTAATTAAACTGATCTGTTTGTCATTTATTTTTAAAAAAAATGTTTCTTTCATTGAAGGCACACAGTCTTTTCTTTGGTAACATTCCAAACATGTTGTTAAAGTTCGAAACAGCCACCGCTAGTAAAACCTTTGATTTAATTGTGGAATCCCTCTCAAGATTATATACATTTAGGAATTTGTAACTAATAAAACTGACTGTCGTTTATTTGGATGTTATAAGTTGTAAATTGTTTTCCAGTGCATGTGTGCAATCGTATATGCCTTTTAAGCTGTCAATGAACAGTCAGTGGTTAGGTTAAGTTGCTGCTACTTGCCATGGCATGGAATTGCACAGACCCACAAGATCCCAGGTTTTGCTGAAATTTGTGCAGTTGGATGATCTTAGCTGGGATGAAGGGGAATTTTAGTCGGCTTTAGAGGTTCTGGATTAAAGTACGGTCCATGAGTGGCTTGCTGGTGTCCTGATAGTACAAATGCTATAATCGATCTCGTTGGCTTGAATTGGGGGAAGTTCAAATCAGCCATGCTTCCTGCTGCTGATCACTGTCCAGTGGAGCCTTGATCGAAGGAAGGTGTGTGGGTGGCTGGACCAACAGAACAGGTTTGACTAACGTGCTGCCAGCTGAGACGCACGTGAAATTACCAGTTGGGTGAAGTAACCAGAGGGCACTCCGCAGCATTGGTTGGCACTTCGAGGAGAGAGAGAGCATTTTTTTTAAAAAAAGCAGACGTAATGTTGGCACTGGAATGTACTGTTGTGTCTCCTGCGTAACAAGCATGTAAGTGTGTGGGGCTGTGTGAGACTTGCAGACTGGCATTTGATGCCTCGTTTATTGTGGCAGACGGCAGCTGAAATGGAAAATAACGTTGGCTTTATTGCAAACTAAGTGCAGAGTTCCTGTCCTTACAATTTTGGTGGGTTCCAAGCCCTCAATTAACAGTGACAGAGACCCGACCGGCCATTTAATAGAATTTTACTGCTGTTCCCTCAGCTTTCTCTGCTTGTGTTTTTAACGTGGCTGCAGGGAAGGGACCCAGTTTGTTTCAGCCTGACTTCTAAAGCTATGGTAGACAACCATGAGGGCAGTTTAATCAACACTGCTTGCTGGGATGGTGATGGAACTGCTCAAATTGTTGTCAGTGTCTCTGGGCTAGTCAGGAAAGGTTGGCGAGGGTCCTGCTAACTGTCCTCTAGACAGGGACCTGGAAAAGGGGTGCGTTGTGGGCTTTTGTAGTCAAATGTAGTCACTCAGTATCCAGAATGATCACAGAGATGGTCTGTGGAATGCTACTCGCTGTCCCAATCCCTGACTGTCCTGCGCTTTGAAATGTCCTCCCGACTTGAAAGATGCTACACAAATGCCTTCAGGAGGGGTGAGGAGAAAGCTATCAGTTTGAGAATGATGGCTGTTGACTGTTCTTTAGGTTAAAATCCTCGTCCTCACCTTTAAAACCCTCCACAGTTGTGCTACTCCCTACCTCTGCGACTTATTAACACCATCTCATCCTATGGGGAATTAAGCGCAATGATACGATTGCTAATTCGTACTAAGAGCCTAACAATCGCGACACTAGGAACCTGGCACCAGCTTTGTGTTTGGGAAGGTGCCTTGCAGGAGAGAACCACATGGGGGAGCAAAGAGATTTGTACAGTAATTCGTTGGAAGTTATTTTGCAAAGAGCATGACGAGAGTTCTTCTTCATACAAACGGATAACTTTTTTTTCCCGTTTTCGTTCCGTTAGGAGGTTCTCGAGAATGCCAGGATGATGGAGATCATGAAGTGAGCGCCAAGAAATGTCGAACCGAAGACACCAACGTCTGTAAGAAATGCTGTGCTGAGTTCTTCGATCTGTCCAAGTTCCTCGAGCACAGGAAAAATTGCACTAAAAACCCACCCGTTTTGATTATGAATGAAGGCGAGAGAGGAATGCCTCCAAAAGACTGCCCAGAATCCTGTCCGGAAACCTTTACCAGCAACCAAATGGAAGGTCAGACCTCGAGTGATCAGTCCAAGAGCAGTGGTAGCTCTGACGGGAGGATGGACGAAGAGAGCGAACCTGCTGAGATGGATACTGATCATAATAACGTAGAATCTCAGAACGCATGTGCCTCAAATGCTGCTGCCGCCACCGCCAGTTTACATCAGTCCTCTGACGTGAGCACCGTGCCCCAATCCAAAATCCCCAACACTAACGTCACATTAGAGACCATTCAGAACACTAGCGTGGCAGTGACTCAGCACGTTCCTGACCACGTGCCTTCCAACAATTCCAACGCGACCGGAAGTGTGAACGTCATTCCCATCCTGCTCGAGCAACTGGTCTGCTTGCAGCAGCAACAGCTCCAGCAGATCCAGCTCACTGAACAAATCCGCATCCAAGTGGCGATGATGGCTCCTCATTCCCTGCACCCCTCGATTGTGGCAGCCGCAGATCCGCTCAAAGCCCTGGGGACCCACCTGTCGCAACAGCTTTCTGCTGCCGCTGCTTTAATTGGGCAGAAAGTCGGGAACCAAAGCTTTACCCTGGAAGGGTTCAAACCAGTTCAACTACCTCGTTCTTCGGTTGGCGTCATCCCAACGCCTTTCGCCAAAGGTTTGCACCTGTCCGAGTCAGGCTCTCTGCAGACTGTCGGCCTGCTGTCCTCGCTAACCTCCAAGCCCGATCCCATCTCGCGCTCCGAAGTGGGGCTGAAACCCGGCTCGGCCATCCGATTCCCGAACCCGCTGCTACCTCAGTCGCCAAACGCCGTGTCGTTCCACAACTCGCTGTCGGGCCTGTCGGCGGCGTCCGCTGCCCGGAACCAGAAAGGTAAGCCTCCCAATGTCGCCGTGTTTGAGACCAAGTCCAGTTCCGAGGAGTCCTTTTTCAAACACAAGTGCAAGTTTTGCGGCAAGGTGTTTGGAAACGACAGCGCTCTGCAGATTCACATCCGCTCGCACACCGGGGAAAGACCGTACAAATGTAACATCTGTGGCAATCGCTTCACCACCAAAGGAAACCTGAAGGTCCACTTCCAGCGCCACAAGGAGAAGTACCCTCACATCCGGATGAACCCCTATCCCGTTCCTGAACACCTGGACAATGTTCCCACCAGCAGCGGCATTCCCTACGGCATGTCCATACCGCCCGAGAGTTCAGCAAATTGGGTGGACACCAAGCCCGTCTTGCAAACATTGTCGAATTCCGTGGGGTTGAACCTATCCAGCGGTTTTGAGGAAACATCCGACAAAGCTCCCGTCAGTGACTTTCTGCAACGACAGTCACCGACGGTTAGTGAATCTGCCTCCATGTCGTCCAATGTCAGCAACTACGAGGTTAACCTGGATGTCCAGCCCAGCAAGCCCACCGCCGAAAACGGCAACGCCCTTAATCTGGCCGCATCCACATCCGAATCACTGAAGGCTAAGCCGTCTCTTGGTAACGTGTTCGACGAGAACGGCCAAGCGTCTGAGACCTCCAAGTTGCAGCAGTTGGTGGAGAACATAGACAAAATGACAAACGACCCGAATGAATGTGCCGTGTGCCACCGTATACTGAGCTGCCAGAGCTCGCTCAAAATGCATTACCGCACCCACACTGGGGAAAGGCCGTTCAAATGTAAAATCTGTGGCAGGGCTTTCTCGACCAAAGGCAACCTCAAGACTCACTACGGGGTTCACAGGGCAAAGCCACCTTTGCGAGTGCAACATTCATGCCCCATCTGCCATAAGCGCTTCACCAATGCCGTAGTCCTTCAGCAACACATTCGAATGCACATGGGAGGGCAGATCCCCAACACGCCTTTACCCGAGGGCTATTACGACGGCTCTGACCCAGAGCCTCTTCTGCTCGACGAAAATCTTGATTTCGACAGCAGTTTCACCGACGAAAACATGGATGAATCGGAGTTGGAGGGCGACAAGGGTACAAAGGTGCCTCCGGCTGAGGATTCCAAACCAGTTTTGCCTTATAGTGACTTGCCATCCAACTCCCCTTTGTTGGTCTTCTCAAGTATTGCTGCTTTAGAGAGTCAGATGAAAATGATCAACTCGGATGTGGATTTGCAGCGAAAGTCCAGTCTGAAATCGAGTGAAAACGGTTCTCCAGAAAGTGAAGTTATGACGAATGATTCCTTCTCGGCAGCTGGGGATCAGGAATATCCAATTGCACGAAGCCCAAGTGCCTCCGACTCTGCTTTGGTCCTCGCTTCATCTCCTGTTAACTACAATGACAAACACCAGTCTAAGTCGCCGGGATTCCTCACCATCTGTGAAGCTTCCAGAACCAACACCGAGCCTGCCGAGACCTCTGATGGGGCAAATGACGGGGCACTGGATTTAACCTCTGGCAATATATATCGCAAAGTTAAGGAAGAAGCACCTAGCGTTCCATTTACAAATGGGGACTGCAGTAAGTAACAGATTGCAGCCACTGCAACTTACTCCTTCCTGGCAGATCACATCAACATGGATTAATTCCATTTTAATTTTCCATTGTAGTCTCCAGAATAATGGTGTGTTGCTCTTGCTTAAAATGGGCCCTGATGCGATGATAGACTTTTTGGTTTAAGATTTCTTTACCTGAAAAATAAAATGGATCCAGATTTTAAGGGATGATGGGTGTGGTACCAAGATAGAAAGACAATCTCCTTTGAGCTTGGATTAGATAAATGATGCAACTTAAAATCAATGGTGTGATGTAAACCACTTCTGTAATGCTGAGAAACTGGGCTCCAAACGTAGAATTTGTGTCTAGCAGTAAATTCCATTTCCTACGTCGCCTGTGTTTGCCCTCCTGGTAGGAATTTGTTTGCTCTTTTCAAGTTGTGAATACCTTAGTCCTTGTTCTCCATCCGATTCCCAATGGATTGAGCTTTCCTTCAAGGAGAAGGAAGCCAATGTTGAGAAATGGGACACTTTTCCTAATTGGCATTCCTTGCCCCATCAAGCCCTCCCGGCCTGCTCCAGCAGAGATGAAATCCAGAGTTCTGCCTTGTTCTGCCCCATGAGGAATATTCCCTACCCCACCTCACTGGTGTGAATTGCTCATTGCTGTGTGAGCTACTGAATACTGGGCAAATACGGGTTGGCCAGTGGTCAACTGGGTTAGGTGTCCACATGTTATGTAGTGTTTCAGGCTGGTAGAGAATGCCGTGCCATCTGTCCAGGTTGGATTTAAACCAAGCTCCCAAAGATGAAAGCTGCTCTCTTGTTACATTGCAGTGAACATTGAGCTCAAACGATATTTAAATGAGCCAAGTGAATTTATTCTCCCTTTGTGACATTGGCAACAGACCTGGGTGTATTTCTGCTCTCTCGAAGTGAGATGACAAAAGTTGGGGGTGGGTGTGGGGTGGAAAGATTATAACCGAGTAACAGAATAGAAACTGAACACAATTAGTTGGTAAGACACATTGCACCTGGAATAGTTACATGTGTCTCACATGTTTATTTTTGTGTGAAATTTAGGATGATGCAGAATTGTGAAAAATTCTTCAATTAGGACTTAATTTGAAAGCTGATTTTCCACAGTTCTTAAATCCAAATAAAGAACGTAAAGAGTTTTTTCCACAATTTCTGCGCAGTCTTAAATTTTAAACGCAAAATGGTCTTACAAACTGAGGCGAGATGGAATTTCAGGCCGATTGTCTTCATTCAAGCAGATTCTCAGTGTTTCCTGACCGGTGAAGACAAATGAATCACGTGACAGATCAACATATTATCTGATGAAACTGCAAATGAAATGAACTTTGAAGCCAAAATTCTCTTTGTTTCTTCTCTTCTGCTCCCAAAGGGAAACCTTGCACATCTACTGCAGCTCACACCAGCTAACACTGCACAGCCATTGCTTCTGCTCTTGCTTTACAGCCTGCAATGCTCAATGCGCTCACCACAGACTACTACACTGCCATTACCGTGCAGATATCTTGTTGTTGCACAACCCCAGCAGTGTTCTGTATTCTGACCAGTTAAATCACCTCCACCAGAAAGTAGTACTTATGTAAGACCTATATTTGAAGTGACTTGCGGAGCAAAGATAGTTGTGAGAGAACTTTGCTCGGGGTTTGTCAGACTGGCCTTGTATTATTCCCATTGTGTGCTCTCTCTGATTCCCCCCCAACTTGGCCAGAGAGATCTGTGGATCTTTGGGTTGTGTTAAATTAGTTCACTTCAGCTAGGGTAGCAGTTGGAAGCTTGGGTGTTGTCTGCTGTTGTTGGATTTCGGGGGGGGGGGGGAGGGGAAACCGCAGGAGTAGACTTTATACCGTCAAATTACAATTCTTAATGGGGGTTTCTGTTAATTTTCATCTGCTGAAATGTCTTGAGTTCTATGTATGCTTCCATGAGTGCCAATATACAGTACGTGCACACACGCCTAAACTAAACCAATGGAACCTTATTTTTTTTAAGTCTCCTAATCCTTACCCATTAGTACTCTATTGATCAGTTGACTCAGCACAGACTGGGAATTAAATTTAAGACCGGCTAGAAAGGATAGCTTGGTGCTATACAGTTGTCTTTTCTCGTGAGGCTATCAGTGAATGTGGAAGCAGCAAGGGTTAATAAGAATTACACAGGAAACTTCAAACAGTCCAGCGCTGTGGTGAAGAAGTTAGTAGCTGTTCTTTTGACTCTGGGATCTGGGTTCAAGTCCAGTCAAGGGCGAAGTTCTGGAATGAGGGTCTGAACCGAAATGTGTTCAGGTCACTTTAGCTAATTGGTCTAATGTAGCACGTCAAGCACTAATTTGGTAGTCTCACTTACAGTTTATAAGGTGACTGTTATGAGACACGGAAAACTCGTACTGATACAGTTGGGGCTTTTCTGAGACTGCGTTCAAGTCTGTGGTTGGACAGAGTAGAGATATTTATGGTTTGCTGGATGCTTGATGAGATATGATGCTAGGACTGGATGTGTTTCATTGTCTGTTACTTGGCTTGATGAGTAACAATGAAGATAACATCAATTTAAAGGCAGGGTGTTGATCTGTAAGGACAGTGAGCACAATTTTTCTCAACGTAGATTGCATTTTGCATTGGCTTGTGTTGTACAAAAGAAATGATTAAGAAAAGACGTGGTCCTTTATTGTTGAGCCTTTTGCTTTTAAGGTACATTTAAAGGCATCTGGGGACAGATTGCACGGAGCAGTTAGCAAATCTGTTGCATTTGGTTGCTGAATTAGCGACATTTGGTAGAGTGAACAAAAACCCATTATAAGAAGGGGTCCCTTGAGTGGCCCACGGTAGACTAAACAGTCAAACTGTTGTATGTTTTCAGGTGCTGTCCAAGTTCCTGCAGGTTCCTTTGCCAGGATTCCTCCCGCTCTGATTAAAGTGGAAGCGAGTGGCCATGGAGAACGTCCAGTAAGCACCACTGCACAATTTCTTTCCCCGTCAAGCGTGGCTCCAATCTTGCCACCCATTTTGGCACCTCCACCCCGCCGCACACCTAAACAACACAACTGCCCTACCTGTGGAAAGTCCTTCTCCTCCGCGAGTGCTCTGCAGATTCATGAACGCACGCACTCTGGTGAAAAGCCATTTGCGTGCACCATCTGTGGAAGAGCTTTTACAACCAAAGGAAACCTCAAGGTAACTGGTTCAGATTGAGAAAATACTACAGTTGTGTACTGGTCTAAAATTCTTTTGATTTTTTTTTAAAAAAGCAATGACAGATAGCTCCAATAAGAACTAGCTTGCAAGTGAAGCGGACTTGTTTTACTTGGCGCCTTAGATCTAAGCGCCTTAGATAGCTTCTCTATCGACTCTGGTTGCCTTGTAGGATACTGAGCCGTACAGACAGGAAGCTTCCAGGTTTGATTCTTGGTCTGTGCTCATTTAGCTGATCTCAATAGAGGCATCTGCAACTGACGTCCATGTCCCAGGTGATGGAGAGAGAGGGAAAGGGGAAATGGAGGCAGGATTCCTATTCATGATCAATGTCCAATGGCTGTTGAAATTACGCTTGTCTTGTGGTTGCAGATTTTCTTTCTCTCATTTCTTCTCTCTCTCCATCACATACATACAACACCTAGACATTTAAACACACTGCTGTTATTTGCTGTCCAAACTCTCCTGCAAATAATGACCATTGTGTGGAAGCACTATCCTATCAAGGGGAGCTGTACCAAGGATACAGTTGGTATCTGGAGTAGGGGGGTAGGGAAGGGGAGAGGTTATTTTCCCCTGCATGACTTGTGATCTCAAAGGCAGAGATGATTGCCCAATAATGACTGTTCTATTCCCGTGTTTTTACTCTCCAGTCTAGGCGTGTGTTCAGAGTTTTAAAGTTGTGAGGAGTTCTTTCAGTGGTAAACTGAAGCAGTTTGTGATGGAAGTGGTGGAGGAAATACTCTTGTATGGTCTGTGTTAAGGGCATTTCTTTGGGAGTTGGAAGGGTGTATTTCATTGGAAACTATTAAACCGCATAGCAGCGTACATCAAAGGTGGTTCAATCTGGGAAATCTCAAACAACATTGCTGGCCTGCAGATGAACTTGCTCACAGGGAGAGGAACACCGTGGCAATTGTACCCAGAGGTGAGGGAGGGGAATAGTTGTACCGTTTTTGTCCTGTTGAGGCAACAGCTTCGTTCTATTCATGTTGCTGTAGACCACTTCACTGCAGTATAAATGTGGCGACTTCAGACTGTCTGTTCAGGTAGTGCTTGAAGCTGACAATCGCATATGTAGTGATCCTCTCGAGTTGGTATCTGCGACTTTGCTTGAAGCCTCAACGACAATAATACTAATCATGTTAAAAAAAAATATTTTGCTTTGTATTGTAGGTGCATATTGGAACTCACATGTGGAATAACTCGGCCAGACGTGGGAGGCGTCTTTCGTTAGACGGTCCTATGGTATTAATAGGCAATGACCCAAAGAAGTTCGCTGAGATGTTCCCCAAAGATCTAGTGGCTCCTGCGATGAAGGTTGAGCCGACGCTATGGAATCACTACACCACCTCACTCACCAATGGATTAGTCATGAAAACCAACGAGATCTCCGTGATTCAGAATGGTGGCATTCCTCCCCTCACTGTTAGTGTCATGGGGAGTTCTGTGTTGAGTAACAGTGCCGCAGTCTCCAAAGCTGAGGGAACCCCACCTGCTATTAGCCCAGTGATGGCTGATGAAGACAAAGCCAGCCCTGAAGGCATTGTAACACCAACCTTCCCCCATTTTGTGGAGGAAAGTAAAATAGCTGTTAATTAAAAAAAAACGAGACGTTCTTTAGCAAATGTGCAGTTTAGATTAGATTTTAGTCTTTAGTTTTTTTAAATGAAGAAGAAAAAAAGTACAACTACAAACCTCACTATGGGCTACTAATTTCAAATAAACCTCAAAAGTGTAAAATAGATTTTTACTGTAGCTGTGTCTCTAAATATCAAAATTGCTGGGTATCTCCTAAATTTAAGTTACGAGTACAATCAATGCTTTGCAAATTTAGTGTATAAAACTCTGGGATTATCTAAAGAAGAAAAATAAAGCGGGTCTTGCAAAGTGAAGCGTTTACAATGTTGACTTAAGTTTACAATATTTTTGAAGTGTACAGCCTCTTTCTCATGAATTTTTTTACTACAAAAAATCGTTATGAATCCAAAGATTGAAACCTATTCTGTAATGAGTGCTAGATTTTGGAATAATTAGTAGAAATTGAAATGAATCATTTCCATAACTACTATAGAGATTTTGTCTTTGAAGATGTGTGTGTATTTGTATTTACTGTTTATACATTAAAACCATTTATGCGGGTAACTATTCTAGAATGTCAGTTGGTGCCATCCGTTTAGATTTTGATGACAATTCATTCCTTAAATCTTGAATGAACTCTTGTTTTTTTTTATATGGGGAAAAAAAAGTCCTAGTTAAATGATTTATTTGTAGGACTATATGTCTCTTCAAAGAAAAAGCTGCATTTTGGATGGAAATAAGTATCAAACTGGCCTCGACCAGGCCAGTAGAAATGTGTTTTTGGCCAAAGCAACTCATTTTTAATGCAGATGTTCCAAGCATTTGGCTGTGATATAATTTCTGATCAGGCTGTTAGTTTTCTGGGTGTTTAGGCTCCAAGCATCTCAGCAGTGGGGAGAATTTTTACCTGGCCCTTGTGTTTTGGAGCTTCCAGAACTTGGCAAATTATTGAATTCAGTCTTAACTTTGAAGTCTTACAAGAACTTACAGAAAGTGGGCTTCAAATTTAAGACCGTATTTTCCAAATTGTGGACTTGCGAAATGCTGGATAAACAGTAAATTTAGACGCAGATGGAATTTCTTCGCAAAGCCTGTGTTGTGGATTCATCTGTCCTTTTGACTTTGGCTTAGGTCACCAATTATTTGGGGGTGGGGTGGGAAGCTCTTATCACAGAGACCTTAGTGCCTTGCACACGGTCTGTGCTTTTTAAAAGAAATTAAATGAGAATGAGTGCTCATTTTTTTTAAAAAAAAATAAGTTAATTGAGCGAGCAACCAGTTGATCAGAGCATTTAAACGAGGTAATTGACTCCATTTTTTTTCAATGCAAAATCATCGGGCAGGGGAGAAAAAAAAACAAGAGAGAATTCTTGATGAGCGTGTGCCCACCCTGGTTGATTTCAAACCAGGGTTATGTGTTTAATTTCTGGATGGTGCACCATTTGTGCTTTGGCCAAAGGAGACCCACATGTAGCATATGAGGGAAGTGGGGAGGGTGGGCCCCAGAACTTGAAGTAATTTTGTTTAACTACCTCACTTTTTTTTTAAAAAAATTGCCATTTGTGTTTTTTTGTTGTTTGGTCGTGCTGGTTCCTTCCCCTCCCCCCCCCCCCCCCCCAGGCTATTGACCATTTTTTGTTCATGAACTGACCTCGTGCGTGGTCGGAAGGTGTCATTTCTCTTGCTTTTGGTGGACGACGGTTGCATCAGGTAGCGGATCGAGAGTTTCGCTGACGCAAGGATTTGGGAGCCTCACATAGACTTTTGTTCCACATTCTCCGACTCTTTTTCTGAGTGCTATAGTTTAACACTGAATGTACAACTGGAGTGCTGAACAAAACGGACACCGCATCTTGCTTTACTAACAGTACTTTGGGTCTTTCGGTAGCTGGGCTGATGTTTCAATGCCAAATTGAGAGCAAGCTACCATTTGCAGTAGTGTTTGATGCTCGGAGATTACTGCTTCACATCGGCCTTGTCTTTGACTTTAGTTCACAATGTTTTTTCATGGTGCTTTGACATGCAAGTGGACTGATGCAGGGGTAACTGTGAATCTGCAGAACCTATATGGTTTACATGGAAAATGGATCTTTTGTTACATCATGTCAAAGATGCCTTGAATGGCATGATTATGTATGCTGTCTTTCATGAATGTTTTAGTGGCTCTCTTTAGTGCATCTACTGAATGTAAACTTGATTTTTTTTTCTTTCTGGCATATGGGAATAAATGCAGGTTGACATTGTTACAGTCAATCGTTGTCGTCTTTTGTCCTTTATTTCAAACCTCTTACATGCAAGGCTCAATGAAGCTACTTAACTAGGTGTTACTCGTCTGGTTTGCCAATCTACACAGCTGTGCAGATGAATGCAAGTTCTGCACAGGGACCAAGATTTCTCAATTGGTAAATTCACTATATGACGTGGTCTTGAACTATATAGGTTGGGTGGTTCTCAGGAGCTTGGTCCTTCCTCATCAACTTCCAGCTGAACTGACAAGCAGGACCTCAATATAATGTCTATTCTGAAGGACAGTTCCACCCACAACTCCACTGGAGTACAGTGGCTAGTCTTTTGACTGTGACTTGGGTTAAAGTCCAGCCTAGCATGAAATTCTGGGATGAGGGGCTAACATGGAGTGTCAGTTTCTAACCTATTATCTGGTTGAAGCACTAAAGTCCTATGCCTTAGTGCTTAGAGCACTTGCCTCGCAAATGAAAGACCTGGGTTTGATTCCTGGCAGGGCGAAACCTTGGACAAAGTTTCCTTACTCCACACGCCTGATAATAATTGCTCAAGAAAAAAATCAATAATAAATTGGTCACTTCAATCCATGACTGTTTGTGGGGCGCTGCTGTGCGCAATTGGCTGGCGGGTTTCGCCCACAAATATACAGTCAACTCACTTCACAGTACATTCTGTGAAGTGCTTTGAGACGTCTAGAAAAGGTGAAAAGAGCTATATCAAATGCAAGGATTATTATTAGAGAGCTGCTGAAACCATAGTTGTAAACTAGCAAACAACTTCAGGAAAACCAGTAAAACCTGATTCAGTATTTTTTTATATAATCAAATTCTCATTGATCTAATCTTTCCCTTGTCTTGTGAGTGAGTGTACAGAGGGCACTGTCGAGGGAATATGAGCTGCAGATGGGTAAGAACCAAAGCTTGAGGGTGGGGGTTTGTGTTGGTACTGCTTGAGTTTAGTTAACTAAAACCTGAGCTTGCCATTGAAGGCAAATGAAAGGCAAGTGGATAAATATATACATGTGTTTAAACACTAGTCGTCTGAAGAAATAACTGGAAAGTGAGATTAATAGTACAATAGGATTGATTCTGATGTACTTTGGCCCATTTGATCTCAATCTTCCAGGATACTCACTCTAATATCTTTGACTTCAGTTCACAATGTTTTTTTATGGTGCTTTGACATGTACGTGGACTGATGCAAGAGTGACTGAATCCGTAGAACCTATATGGTTTACATGGAAAATGGACCTTTTGTTAAAAAAAGCTGTGCCTTTGTTATTGAAAGCCAATAATAAATTAAGACATAAATGAGGGAAGTAACATTAGAGCTAGCCATGTTCCCACCTAGTGTACAATATTCATATTGGACCAAGCACCTTTCTTGCCATGTTATCGCTCATTGGATCCGTTAGGCAGGAGTCGATCTTGGGTTAGGTGTCAGCTGGGTTCAGTTGGCAGCATTTTTGCCTCTGAACCAAAATGTTAGTGGGTTCAGGTGCCATGTTAGGACTTTGAACTCATGTAGTTGCCCTCAACTCCAGGACCACTGCTGTCCTGACAGACTGCCTGTTGGACATTAAGTCCTGTATGAGGGAAAATTTCCCACAGTTGAATGTGAACAAGACTGAGGCCCTTCTGAATGGCTCGCGCCAGCGCCTCTGCACCTCAGGCTCTGGCAGCATCAACCTCCATGGTTGCACACAACTCACCAAGCCAGTCAGGAACCTAGGTGTCTTGTTTGACCCTCAACTGTCTTTTCTTCCCCACATCCAAGCCATGGCTCACTCTGCCTTCCCTCACCTCTAACATCACCCGACTCCACCACTACCTCACCCCTCAGGCCGCTGAAACTCTTGTTCATACCTTCAGGCTCGACTATGCAAACGCCCTGCTTGTCGGCCTTCCCAATCATTCAAAGGATCCAGTTCAAGATCCTGGTCCTCACCTACAAACCCTCCATGGCCTCGCCCCACCCTACCTCTGCAACCTCCTACCAACCCGTCCGCTCCCTCTTCTCAGCCGGCTCTGGCCTGCTCCATGTCCCCCGACCCACCCGCCCCACCATTGGCAGGAGAGCCTTCAGCCACTCTGCCCCCAACCTCTGGAATTCCATCCTCCAATCACTGCACCTCGCCCCCTCCTTAGCCTCCTTGAAGTCCCGCCTCAGAACCCTCCTCTTCAACCATGCCATCGGCCACCCACCTTGCCCTCCCCTCCCTTCTCCCCCCCCCCCCTCCCCCCCGACCCCAGCTCAGGTCTAAGATGCTGTACACCGTCCAGTGCCTTGGGACGTCCTCCCGACATGAAAGGCGCTATACAAATGTAATCTTGTTGTTGTATCGGCTGACACTCCATTGCAGTGGTAGGGGAGTCCTGCGTGGTTGGAGGTGTTATCGTTTGAATGAACGTTAAACCGAGGTTAAGGCCGATGTTGAAGATTCCATGGCACTGTATGAAAAGAGAGGGTAATTTCTCCTGCGGTCCTGGAAAATGCATTTTCAGATTGCTGATGGTTCAAATAGTAAAGTCACTGACCAGTGTGTAACCAAGCTTTGGACAGTAGAAAAGTATCATATTTTACCACTGGTCAGTGCCTAGTTATGTCAGCCAGTCGAACACAAGAGAATCTCTTTAAAAACAGCAACTCACATTTATATAGCATCCTTCACTGTAACACTTCAGAGGTGGTGGGGGGTGGGGGGCTGGGCTTACAACTGAAGAACCTACATCTGATTAAGAGAGCTTGCGTTAGGAAAGGGGAACGAATCGGTTTGAGTTCCCACTCCTGATCATTCTCCAGTCATTCCAGCTGAAAATGCTCGTGTTGCCAGTCTCTGAATTGGCTGTGATGCTCTATAATAATAATAATAATCCTTGCATTTGATATAGTGCCTTATCACGTCTTTGATAATGATCCCATGCGGGATCAGGAATGGAAGTCTCTGTCTATTTGTGGGGATCAACAGGCATTTAGGCATTTGGCACATCCCAATATCTCACCCAAGAGGGTAGACTTCAAACCAAGAACACAGGCAGACTTCGATCATGGAGAGCAGTCCAGCCAACTATTTGTTGGATGAAGTTCAGAAAAAGGGCTGGTCTATCTCACTGGGTGACCATATTTTGTCAACCAAATCCAGGGACCCTTATATTTTTT